GGGGTGGTGTGGGGGCGAGAGAGAGAGAGAGTAGTTTGCAGTTCACATGTTGATGAAGTGGGTTTATTCATTATGCTACGGGGGTACGTCACTTGGTTTATAATTTCTGGGATTTAAATTATGACTTAGTAGGTGTTTGTTATTCTTTTGCTCGAAAAGGTATTAATGTTTTTTTAGATGTTTTTGAATAGTTTTGATGGGTTGAAGTAAAAAAAAAATAAAAAAAATATCATTTTATAATTATAAGACATGTAACTTATATGAAAACACTTGGTAGCTTGATTTGAAATTAAATATGATAGAAGTTGATTTGGTCATCATTTGATTTTTTAATTTTTTTTAAATCGAGGTTGTTCTATTTTTTTTTCCAAAACAATCCATGACTTGGGATTTATTTGAATTGTTTTTCTCCTCTAGTGTGATTCAAAAAGAATTAAGATATTTAAAAAAGAAAAAGTGAAAAGAATAATTAAGACCCAGTAATTAAACATGGCCAGACAATTAGATCCACCCGAATGATCTGACATTATTTAATTAAAAATCAGGGTAATTTGCGATCTACTCGCTTCTAATTTTATTTTTAAATGATATTGATCACTTTTTTTTAGATTTTTTTTAAATTAATCAAAGTTAGCACACGAACTCATAACACGAGCTTTATCGACAAACGGTCACCGGAATTATGCAGGAGATTTGGTGGTTTATATACATACAAGTTGCGCGTTTATTCATTATGCTAACGTGGGTTTGTGTTTTCTAGGAGTTAAATTATGACTTGGTCCTTGGTGTTTATAAGAATTAACTAATTAATCATCTTGTTGGGTTTTGTAAAGATTTTGAAAACCATGAGATGGAAAGCTGGAGCCAGTGAATTACTATCATTACATTAAACTTTAAAGGGATTAAGTTATGATTAACTGTTTTCCAATCTCCAAGGATGTTTTTATTGATTCCCCCCATAGGCAAGCGGCCTAGGCCTCTAGCCATGGATTTTATGTAGTTTCTTGATAGGATACCTTTAATATCTTCAATTAAAGAAATTTGTGAGATGGTAGTGGATTTCGTTTATCCTTGGAGCTTTGCATGCGGTGGCGTGCCGCCCCTCGTCTCAAATTGACTTCTTCGCTATCTGTAGATAATGGCAAAACCACCCTTCACATCATACTCCGTATGAGTCCCGTCCCGAACCTTTTTATATAATTAATTCTACTCTAAATTAACCAAATATTGAACAATATAATCCTCACTAGTAATAAATAGTAGTTAAGAGATTTTGTTCAGTTTGATTGTGTTTACTGAGTGTTTTTATTCGCTAAATTATGTTATATCATGCCATAAGGAACAGTTCTAGTGTCCATTTAAAACAAGTTTCACCTTATTTTACCAGCTTCTACAGAAGGATAATTGAAAGAAATTTATTGTGATTTTATGTTAGGATTATACTTTATAAGAAACTTGATGGATATTTTCATGGATTGGATGGGATAACAAAAAATCACATATAAATAGGTTTGATTTTTTTATTGAAACTGTCACTAGCGTAGTATAGATAGAGGGAGATATAGTCCATGTCACGTGCGAGGTAGAATTAATAAATTGAGAAGCTTCGAAACTCAATTGTGATAGAGGAATCAGGCAATCGTGGTTTCCTGCTTGTTTTTGTGGTCTTATTGTTTTTCTGAAAAGTCTGGAAGCTTTATTTTTCTGTTTTTGAATTATATTAATGTATGCTAATGTTATAAATAAATTTTAAAAATAAAAAAAATATTATTTTAATATATTTTAAAATAAAAATCATTTTGAAAATTAATCTCTAGAAGTTTGAGAACCAGTTGTACTTGTAAATAACTTAGCAACCGCTTGTTTACATAATAATAATAATAATACAGCATTTTAAACTGTATTTAAATTAAAAAATATTATACATATTATTTTTCTCGAGTAAATCATAATTTGAACTGTACATAGTCTTAATGCTTCAAAATGGGTTGTGAGCTGGTATCGTTTCCGAAAATGCCACAGCTCGGTGTGGATGTGGCCGGTCCATTTTCACAACCTCACGCAACAATTTCTGCTTTGATAGCAACTGGACTGGGATTTTCGAGGATGAAGGGAGCAATGTGTCCAATGTTGTTCAATTCTATCACTCCTGATTTGTAGGCTTTGGGAAGGTGGTTTGAACTTTTAATAGGTTTCGGCGTGTCTAATGTTGATTAGTCTAGGTTCAATTAGTGCTTAGAATTTGAGAAAATGTGGGTGCTATGATTCGTACAAGTGACTTGTTCTTCCTAGGAAGCTGGTGACTGATCTCTAGGGCTTTGCTTGATATTATATTATCAAGTATCAACAAGAATAAACATGATGTTTAACCATAATTGATTAGTTAAAAGATTGTGCTTAATTAGAGTTTTAGAACAGAAAAAAATAAATATAGAAATGAATTTTATTATTTTTTAAAAATATGAACTTTATTATGATAGTTTTCTCTGTTTTTTGGGTTTGAATCATTAATCAAACAATAGCTATAGACATTGCTTATATGGTTTTTCTCTCATAAAAACCCATAACCTGGCAGAAAAGAAGAAAGAGGAGCAGGAGAAATCAAGATCCAGTTCCAAAATTGTAGGAGAACATTAAACATGCTGAGCACAAGAGAATTAGACAAAGATATTGCAACTTTAGCAAGACATGAAATTTGTCTACGCGAGGCACGGCTACCAGCCGAGCACGCCAAGCTTAACCACCCCAGGCCCACAAATATTCTCTGTCCCATCGGAGTTGATTAGCGATAGAACTCAATGGCTGTGGTCGCAAGTAGTCAAACTCACACCGAAAGTTAAGATGGTCAAATTTGCTTCCAGTCCCTCACATTAATGGGTTCTTAAAAAATGGGGATGCATGTCATTATGCTTGGGCCCATCCATCCCTGGCCCCAAGATCATGTTAAATTGTTAAAAACAAAAATAAATAAATAAATTGCTGATTATTAGGTCAAAATTCAAAAGAGGAGGAGGTATTTTTGGTCATCGATCTTTTACTTTTTCTTTTTTTTGTTGAAGTACTTTACCTTTAATTTTACTCATTTCAGTTACTGATTTTTTTTATTTTTCTTTCTAATATGGTACCTAGCATCAAGTTAATATGTTGGATGATGACGTGCCTGTAATTTATTCGCTGACACGTGACGACCTAATTGAGGAGGCATGCCCTCATAATCAATGATTTTGAACAATATAAATATTGTATGATCACATAATCAGAAAGCATATATAATTGCCTGCCCTTAGATTTCTAATCGGTTCTTGTGGAAAGTCCCGTGAACCGATTCCGATTTGATGATTTTCACCAATTTCATCGGATTTGTCCAATTTCTTGGATCATTAGGTTTTTAAATGAATCTGTTCGACTAGAACCGATTCAAGAATTTTGCGGGAGGCACATTTTAATGCAATGCAGTCGATCATATAATTTATTTTTACTGACAACATCATATATTTTAAACCAAAACAGTCCTGATTCTTCTGGATCGTTGTTTGATCTCCCACTTAATTTTGTAATAAATTAGGAGAAGCTACCACATCTAAGCTCTGTTAACAAGCTCTCCTGCAAAGTCCCAGCATCGAATCCACTAGTCCTCTTTGATTTGATGCACTATCACAACAGGGTGCGTGCGTGGTCATGGAAGGTTTTCATGTCAATGATGGCACTCATAGCGATAATCTGTCTCGTCAAAAATCTCCTCCTGCGTGCAGAAAAGATTAGCAGGGTTATAAATCTTTGAATGAACTGAAATTAAGTCGGCAGGCAAGAAGAAAACAACAAAATCACGTACTTGCAGTAGCTCTTCAATGACATCTTCGAGTGTTATTATGCCAACAGCCTCCCCCTGGGTAAGCACCGCTAGGGGGCTGTCATCGATGTGCAGGACTTCAGAGTGGACTCCATTTGACCATCTCTTGCTCTTGTAGGCTTCCCTCTCGAACTTTTCTTCACTAGACAAACTACTCTTCGATTTCTTGATCCCTTTGTTCTTCAAACATATCTTCGGTGGGTGCCTTTCACCATCAATGTCGACCCTCACGTCTCTCACTGTATTATACATGATGCATTTGTTAGGGGATAGAAACAAAAGAATAGCAAGCTAACAAGTCAGTGTCTACCATGAGTTGCATTTTCACTAGCTAATTGTTTAGCGTCACTGCCCTCTCTTATGACCACAGCCATATGGCTATGACCTTTCTGAAACTCATTTAGTATGTCATATAGAGGCATTGACTCTGAAACCCTGGCACATAAAACAAATTAACAACATTAGTTTCTTCATATCGTGTACCTTTGATGAATTGAATAATTCTTTTGAACCACCTGTAACAGAGCTTTCGGTATAGGAATAGTGGACTACCTGGGGATTTTGCGAATAGTGACATTCTTCACAGGAACCTCAGCTTCTGGTTGGACAGTTAATAAGTTTTTTACCTACCATTTGTTTAGAAAGAGTGAATTATGAGTTGCACAACGAAAATAAAGAACTACTGACAGCTTCAAGTTCTAATGCCTAGACAACCTTAGTTTTTTTGGCAAAATTGTGCCCTAACATAACCAATAATGCATCCAAGAAAATGCATGTTAAGGGCTCGGCTGATTAAGACATGCAAAATGAAGTAGGTTCAAGTAAATAATGCATGTATGATGTTGAGATGTGTGTGCATATATATATATATATATATAGCACATAGATATTGTAGATGCAAAAATCACATAATTAGCTTTACGTAGTAGACGCTAAGGTAGTGTTTGGTTGCTGTCTCGAGATAGAAAAAATAAAAACCGGAACAGATCATTGTCCCTGTATCATCTGTTTTGAAAAGACAGGAATTCACAAATAAACAGTAGCCTAACTACTAGCTAGTATAAAGATGATGCACTAGTACTCTCAAGATCTTATGCCAAATTAACTTATGAAGAAATTACCAAAACAAGTCCAATAATGTTTCCTCGTTGCTCATGATAGACTGGCACTCTGCTATGCCCCTGCTCCAAAATTAACCTCATCAGAGCCCTGCACGTTAACGCTTCAATAAAATCACATGTCGTTGGCAAGAAACCAATTCTTCATAATGCTTTAGTTTGACAAAAATTCATCATACCTATCAAATTTAGCATTTATATCAACAGAAAAGGTTTCTGATATGGGAGTCATTGCGTCCCTTGCTGTTTTCCCGGTGAGTTGAAGGGCCCCTGCAATGATCGTTGTTTCGTCGCGAGTTAGCTCTCCTCCTTTCCCAGCCTGCATATCATCAGCAAGAAGAATGGATAGGAATACTTTCTCCATCATTTCTTCTGAAGATATCGAGAAAAAGGAATACTTTGATGTTGATGATCATGATTATACTTACCTCATTGCCGTGAAAGTCAACAAGCGTCTCCAGCTCAGATCGGCGGAAAAGAGACATGTCTCCTTTCCCGAGCAAAAAGTCCAGTAGCTGGAGAAATATCCACAGAAGTGAATGAGGACCCTCATTCAATCAAACCTTATATGAAGTGAACTCTCTCATTTCTAGTTTAGAAGGTTGAGTACCAAGGTAAGAAAGAATATAATTTTCTTGAAAAGTCTGCAATTTTCACCTTGCTTATTGGATATGCAATAGGAAAACAAATCATGACGAGAACTTGGACAACTGGAGCCAACGCCGCACCGATTGCCAAACCATAGCGAGAACAAATAGCTTGGGGTATAATCTGTGTATAAAAATAAGGGAAAGGTTACGTAAGAAGGGTTACAAATGATTTCTGTGCATGGAAGCTATATAGTGTAGCCTTGGCTGCCATTTCCTTCAAGAACACCAATTGAAATATATGGTTGTATCTAAAGCAATAAAGCTATCAACTCTATGAGATCTCCAAGGGTGGTCTCAGCTACATTTTGAAGCAAGGTCCCGTGTGGCTCAAAATTCTCAATAATATAGCCACAAATAGACTGCAGTATATCCATCTATACAGACTCAAGATTCTGGTGTGATTGTTGGAGATCAGACACACGCACACGAAACCTAGTTAGGGCCAAGATACGAAACTGACCTCACCAAAGAACAGTATCAAGGTCACTGAGATAAGAATGGCACCCCAAGCTGATACCAAACTATCCAAAAATACAGGGAGTGCCTGCAAGACCAACCGGTTAAGAGATCATATAACTTTAACCATGCAGGATGTTTAAAGAAATTAGTGTTTGACAGCACTGTTGTTGATCATTACCTCCATTGCAGCAGCATTGCAGATTAGTAAGGTACAAAGCAACAGATGCTGTCTCTTAACAACCGGCAATATTTTTGCTGTTACAGAAAAATCAGCAGCAAACAATCGTATGCTTTTAAGCTCAGTTTCTCTATGAAAATTTACAATCAAGCAATAACTTCCATGATGGATATCGATTAACCAAACCAAAAGGTATCACACAATTTCTTCACTGTTACAGAAATATATCCAAATGTAAGGATGGATCTAGTCTTATTTGGAGCTAGCCAAAAGGAATCATTGTAGTATAAAACTCAAAAGCTTTCCCTAAAAGCTAATCAATCTAGCTAATAATAACCTTGATAAGGAAATTAAGATTTATTTATCTTAAAAATAGATAATTAAAAAAATGTTATGCTGCACTCGAACTCGAACCGAGATGCTCTTCAGATACGAACGACTGCAGTTCTGAAAGACAGGCAGGGGTTGAAAAACTAAATCTACAATGTAATTATTCCTACCCTTTGTCCTTAAAGAGATGCAACAGTACACAATGCATAGAACAAGCTAAGATTAAAATAAATAAATTAATTGTAAGTAAATTAATCACTATACAATCATATGAAACAAAAAAAAAAATATAATTACTTGCATGTTTACGATCATTAGGCGTTCCAGACTTGGCAAGAACTTCAAGATCAACAAGGCTCATAGACATGAGTCCTAACGTAAGTCCAGACATCATCCCAGCAAACAATACTAGAAAAGCCACAACTGCGACCCGACTCCAGAACCCAGCTCCACAGCATCTATACTCAAACCCCATTCGATGTCAAATTTCTCTACTTTCTTATATTATTTGCACACTCCTCTTTGGTTAATATTAGTATATAAGTATCCATATGTGTACCAATTGATGACGAGGTGATTAGTGAAAAAAGGTTGAGCTACTTCTCGGAGAAGACTGGAATAAAATCAGATTCTGAAGCTTAGTGGAACTCCAAGTTGAAATATTGGGAACATTGGAACATTGGCTCTCTGAAACCAAATAATAGCTTTTCTATGAACAAATTATCAATAAATTAGTGTGAAAAGAATGTGAAGGGAAAGGGAGTCAGAGCTAGCTGGCTGTTGAATGTTGGGGCCTTGATATGGACCGTCATCATCCAATACCCCCCCCAACCCCACAAAAAAAAAACAAATCAGGAAAAATAAATAAAATAAAAAACAGAAAAGGAAAAAAAATAAAAAACCAAAAGAAAAGGAGCCAAATAAGAGGTTTGGATAGAGGGCCAAGCCTATGATTGTTTTTCTGGGCCATACAATCAAGCTTGCCTTTCCAAAAAATTGAAAGAGGTCCAATAATCAATGTCTTTGTCCTGCCTAGTTAAGTTTCCCACTTTTGATTCTGTGGGTGTGGCCGCATGAACAAACGGATTTTTAGGTCCTCTTTGTATTGTTTGAAAAAAATTTATTTTTAATTTTTAATTTATAAATTGTTTTGACATGTTCTAATCATAAATAAATTTAAAAAATAAAAAAATATTTTTTTAATATATTTTCAAATAAAAAACACTTTAAAAGGCTACATATACTATATTCTTTAACAAATACTTAATAAAAAAGACCTTTTTTAGTTTTTTAATCACCTTATTTGAAACTAGTTTGAAACAAAAAGTTCTAGTAATTAAGAAAAGTGTGGTTAATTAGACCAGACTGTATGATAAATTTTCATAGAGTAGAAATAGCAACTTCGATGACTCTGGTTTTTTCTAGTTATGTAAATAATCCCCTTAGTAGAAAATCGTAGGATCAATATTTTTTTAAAAGAGAATTCATCTTAAAAAAAATGAGAAACACTATTTTATAAATCATTTTCGCCATGATCGTTTAAACGCCGAGTTCAACAGGGACGAAATAATTTCCTTCTACAAAGGGATTTTTGCAGGTATTCCTATATTGTACTCAAGATTATAGTTAAATAGGCCTTTTTGTTTGTTCAGAATTGAGTTTGGTGTTTCCATATATTAGGCATCAAAATATATATATTTAGTTTATATTTTTGTACATAAAAAAATAAATGATCAATTAATGTTTGCCTCTTATCTTGGGTGCGCTTGCCTTCGTTTACTATCTGTTGGATGCGAAAGCAAAGATTAACCTATATAAAAGAAAAGAGAAGAAAGATTTGTATTAAAAAATAATATAAATTATATTTTAAAATATTATTTATTAATTTATTAAAAAAATTTAAATTTAAATTATTGAATTGAGATAATTTTTTAAAAATAATTTTTTCTAGTATCAAAACTTTAATTTTTTAAAAATAATAGTCACAAATTTTGAATTTTATTATTTCTATCTAGTTGATAAAAATTAAAAACAAGTTAGTGTAGATATATACAAATTTTAAGTTTAAAATAAATTTTAATTAAAAAAATATATTAAAAAATAATATAAATTATATTTTAAAATCTTATTTATTAATTTTAAATTTTAAATTCATATAATTTTTTTACAGGTTTTATGATATTTTCTACGTTGAATAATATATTTTAAGCAGGCTGCTGCTGGCTTCTAAAAACTGAACAACATATATTTTAAGATATTGAGAGAAGACGGAAGGATGCACACAAGAAAAAAAAAGGTTTGGCCTCATCACCACACATTCTTGCTAACATAATAGTAGCAAAGTGGTGTGTGCGTGGAAGGGATTCAGATTCCTGCTGTCGACTGCCCAGTGCTCCACTATCTTACGAGTTACGAGAACAAGACAAGTAGGAAACACAGCTAAATCTGTTGTCATGAATTAAAGAGAGCTGTTGAAATGCTTACAAGCCGCATGAGAATAATAGCTCTAACGGAGAGTTTGGAATCTTTGGTTATCTACTATTCTAAATCAATTCTAATGCAAACTTTGAACACAATGAAGGAAATGGTTGTATTTTTACTAATCTGATCTATTCCTATATGATGAAAAATTTATGTATCTTTAACATAACTCCAAAATTGTTGTGAGTTTTTGAGTTGAGGTTGTTAGTTGATGCTGTGCCCACTAGGGTGTTAATATTACCAGCTGCTGATCTTCCTTGAAGTGAAAGAACTGAAAGTTTAACCAACTATCATTCACCAATAATCCCCACAAGAGCACCGCCCATCCTCAAAGCAATGAAATCTATAGGCATCCCTTACAGTAATTTTTCGACGAGCAATAGCCGACATAAATTTGATTGCATTGTGGCAATCCCCACATATCCTCAGGTTTTTCACCACAAGTAAAGGCTCCCCGTGTTTTGTAAAAAGAAGTCCGAATGCAACTGCTAGCTTCTCGCTATGATGCGCTAACATAATCTCTTTCTCTTGTTCCCCTGTTTCATCGTCTTTAACAAAAGCCCATCTCACATCTGGCACATACCCAGCTCTCTTCATCTTGACAAACATCTCATCCAAGTACATGTGAATTTCCTTTATCCTTGGATGCGAATTATCTTCAGCCACAAACACATGCACCCTTTTGTTTAATTCAATCCAACTACAGCCTGGTTTCTTCCTTATGCCTCTATCTCGCATAAGCTTTCTAATTCTTGCTGCCTCTTCCCATTTTCTGGCAGCGGAATACATACTTGCAAGCATGACATAGGGTACAGCACTTGTAGGTTCCAGCTGCAAAAACTGGTTTGCTGCCTTCTCAGCTAGCTCCATATTTCCATATTTCCTACAAGCACCAAGTAGTGCAGCCCAAGCTGCTGATCCAGGGCTAAAGGGCATGGTGTCAATCAACCTCTCAGCTTCACTCAACTTGCCAGCTCGACCCAAAAGATCAATCATGCATGAATAATGTTCTGCTTCAGGTTCGATCCCAAATATATCTTTCATCATATTAAAATACTTCTTGCCCTCCTCAACTCTTCCGGTGTGTGCACAAGCAGAAAGGATAGAAACCAAGGTTATACTTGTAGGGGCAATACTAGCTGCAAGCATCTGTTCGAAAAGGTTTAGTGATTCAGTTCCAATTCCATGTTGAGCATAGCCTGCAATAATGGAATTTAATGTCACAGTGTTATGTTGGGGCATCCTATGAAATAATTTTCTTGCGTCTTGAAGGTTTCCACACTTTGAATACATTGTCACAAGTGCATTATTTACTGAAATTTGATTTGAAGGGATCTCAGATTTCATTGCCAATCCATGGAACTGTTTTCCCTGAGAAGGAGATGATAAATTAGAGCACGCGCTAATTGCACACACAAAGCTACAATCATCTGGCCAATAACCTGCACGCTGCATCTGTCTAAAACATTCAAGAGCCTCCACAGATAGCTCCTTATTCTGTGCATATCCAGAAATCATTGTATTCCAAACAACCAAGTCTGATCCACAAATCTCTTCAAACACTTTCCTTGATTCTGACATGCCAGCTCCACACTTTGCATACATGTCAATCAAACTGCTTCCTACGTGACGATTTTTATTAAACCCAGTTTTGATCGTCTTAGCATGGAACTGAAGCCCCCCAGACAAATCCTCCACACATGAAAAAGTCGTTAAGACACTCGCTAGAGTAAACATATCAATTTCAAAACCCCTATGAACCATATCTCGATACAATGCTAAAGCTTTAAGCCCCCTTTTATGCTGCCCATATGCCACAATCATAGAGTTCCAAGAAACCTCATCTCTAACTTCCTCTCCCATCCCATTAAACACCATTTCTGCCTCCTCCAAAATCCCATTTTTACTATAATAAGTAAGCAGAGAATTTTTCACCGAGACATAGGAATCGAAACCGGACGAAAAGGCCAGAGAATGCAACTGTCTAATCAAACCAACATGATTGCAGCAAGCAGTGATCACTCCAGAAAAAGTGAATCCATCCATGACAAGACCCATCTCTCTCATTTCCCCAAACAAACTTAACGCAGATAAAGTATCCCCACGATCCGCGTAAGCATTAATGAGTGTGTTAAAAGAAACAAGGTCTGGTTGGGGTATTTGATCAAACAAGTGGTGTGCAACATGAATGAGTGATTCTTTTGCATAAGCGGCGATGAGAGCATTAAAAGAGAAGACATTTGGTTCATGGGTTTGGTTAAAAGCATGGTGAGCAGTGGTTAGGAGGTTGCATTTGGAGTAAAGGAGGATGAAGTGGTTGGAGAGATAGGTTGATGAAGGTATTAGAGATTTGAGGTAGATAGTATGGAGGGATTTTCCTGTTAAGAGGTCTTTGTTGGCTATGCATGATTTCAAAATTTGGCGAAAGCTTTGCAGGGTCCATGAGAATTGGGTCATCTGAAGTCTGAAACCTCTCAAAAGCTTTGGACAATTGCCACTTCCTCAATGGTTTAACGCCCTTCCATAACTCGTGCACTAACTCGGGCTGCGGGTTGTTGTTATCTGCGATTCCAGTCATTTTCTCAAAATATTATTATTGCACAAGAACATTTGGTCAATGCTTAGTCAGCACGAGGACAACACAGAACTTCACAGCTGAATTGCTCTTAAAAATGTCTAGGAGATTTACCAAAAGGATATGTTGAAAGTTTTGTAACTTTCTTTCATACCAGTTTTTTCGAACAAAAGCTAACGTTAAGTTGCACTGTTACACTTGAGTGGAGTTATGAGTTGTAACTCCTTTCTTGTATCGGGCTACATGGACCTTGGATCAGGCCTACCCATCATGAACGGATCAATCTTAATCCAAATCCAACATTTTCCACTTGGACAGGCTGGTCCCATGAGCCCACATGTATTTTGATAGTTGTTATAATGTAAGCATCAGGTAATGTTTGGACGTGGCAGCAGTAGAGGAAATATATTTTTTATTTTCAAAAGACATAAATTTATTTTAAAATCATTCAAGAGATATGTTTATTTTTATTTTAATGATCAAATATTTTCTACTATTTTTGTTATTTTTGTTCTAAAACAATAATCAAATGCTTGTATTGTATAAGCTATTGCTATGATTAGCTGAGATAATACATGACTGGATTATTTTATTTATTTTTATTGTATCCCATATATTTTTAATTATATTGGATTAAACAACCTATTCCCTTAAGGTTATATTGAATAATTTAATATAAATATTATTTTTTACCCCCTCAAGTTCCAAACTGTCAAATCTATTAGTTCCCTGACATGTCTTATAAGCTATTTATCTTCGTTGTTATCAGAAGCATACAAAAATATAAATATTAATCCATTAATTCAAGACATGTTACTAAGGAATTTAAAAGTTACTAAGGCTATTTTCATATTTTAGTCTCAAAAGAAATTCACTCAATAAAAATATATGGATTGATCTTCATTTTCTTTATTGGTAGACTGAAGTACACAGTGGAGATTACATGTTACAATGATGACTTTACTATTTAGAACAGCTAGTGTCCGTTTGAAAACGCCAAGCAGTTTAATTTTACTAGTTATAATAATTAATTAGTTATAAATTTAAATTTTATTATTTTATTTATTTAATAAAAATTAAATATAAAATAATATAGATTTATATAAGTTGAATAATATAAATTTTATTTTGAAATCTTATTTAATAATTTAAATTATTAAGTTGAGATGATTATTTAATGGTTAAGTGCGTTGGGTAATATATGTACAATGGGCTCATTTTTTTAATGGATTCAAGGGCTCTATGAAAGAGCGATATGCATGTCTGCCCATTTCACTTCGATTAAGTATTCAAAATGACAACAAGGTGTTGAAATCTATGTTAGCATACAGAGTCACCGGGCTAAGACTTTGGCTGTCAGAGGTAACCCAACGGACACATGTTCTCGGCACTCCAACTGGCCCTGGGTCCATTGATTGACTCAATGGGCCTTCAATCTCGACACGACTCACTGTTAACCTTGTTGGGTCTCATTAATCCTGAACCCCCACCACTTCAGATAATTATATTTATATATTTTTTCATGAAATGATCTGTAACTCACCCAACCTAGCAATAGTTTTTCTGATTTTTCAAAAAAATATCGAGATCGGATTCCTTTAATAATGAAAATAAAAGTAATATTCCGTTTTAAGATAAAAAAGAAAAAATAATTGGGATAAAAAAGACTTGTCTCTTATTCTTTAATATTTTTATATAATTGAATAATTATTTCGATGTATTTTAAATAAAAAATATTTTATACCACAATACTAAACCGTACATATTTAAAGACGAGTCTGGAAACAAGAGTCGGTATCCAAGGTGTAAAAATACATACACGATTAGCGTGACATGAAGGGCAACGCATATATTGAACAATTATCACTGGAGTGTAGGCCATGCACGAGGAACCGAAATCACTTTCAAGCTAGGCTGGACTGAGTGGCCATCGAAGGTGCAATATGGGAAGCTGCATGGCTTGGCTGGGACTGTTTGATTTGGAGCAAGTCCTGTAAATAATTGGAAAGTGGTTTTTATAACTGAGACCACTTGTTGTTTGATATTTTTGTATGCTCTCCATGCTTGATTGATGACCCCCTTGGATATATCCAAGACAGGACGTCGCAGCAAGTTGGACATAAACATGCGGGGCTTTTACTGGCTCTACAGCATGGGTCCTCGGTTTATAAATCTCTAGTGTGACTTTGAGAGCAACCACCTCTACGTTGAATTATGTGTATTCATTGAATGAATTGAAGGTCAAATTAATAGATGCTAAACCCAACTTGTTAATTAAAATAGGATAAGAATTCCTTGATTGTTTTTCATCACTGTGATCTTCAAATGTTGCATTATGTTTTTGGAAGGTAAAAAGCTTTCCATCCCTTCCCTCCTATCACAAGATTTTCCCGAACAAGAGTAAATACTGGACTAATTATCTTAGATAATATTACATTATATATAGTTTACATACATTATTATTGTTAGGAAATTAAACTTTATTATTCTTTTTAATAATAGATAATCAATATATATTATTTTTCTATTGTAATCAACCTGTAATATAGCTTTTCATTCCGGACTTGTAGGAATAATTTGCTATACAAATACACGAACTCATATCAATAATATTCATTTAAGCAAATTATATATTTTCTTCATCTTTTCATGGTATCAAAGCAGAGTTGAGATCCTAATTCATTGCTATTCATCCCTACACTCAAGTCACTCGTATAGCATCTTTTTTTTCCAATCATCATATCCACAGATGAAACATCAATAACAATTGACACAAGTAAGGAGATTATCATTCCTATCACTTCTACAGACATCTCAAAGGCAAATATCTCAAACCCCTATTTCATTTATCATGCAGATCATTCAGGCTTGGTTTTGGTTTCCAAACCTTTGAATGAAGACAATTATTCCACTTGGAAAAGAGCTATGACTTTGGCCTTAAATTCTAAAAATAAGTTAGGCTTTGTCAATGATTCAATCAAAGCCCCTTTAGAAGAAACTAATCCCAAAAGTTTTGCAACCTGGCCTCGCTGCAATGATATGGTCCATTCCTCGATCGTTAATGCTCTCAGTCTAAAAATTTCAAATAACGTGATTTATTATTCTACTACTTATGAGGTTTGGAAAGATCTTCATGAGCGATTCTTTTAAGGCAATGCACCTCGTATCTTCGAGATTCAATGAGACATCACTTATCTCAAACAAGAACAACTCTCTGTTTCTACCTACTACACCAAATTGAAAGGTCTATGGGATGAATTGGCTTCATACAATAATGCAACACACGGGGGATAACAAGGTCAGCAAAAATTGATGTAATTTTTTATAGGGCTAAATGACTCTTACAATGTTATTTGAGGGCAAATTCTCCTAATGAATCCCCTTCCTTCAATTCGGCAGGCATATGCCTCTGTTTCTTAATAAGAAAAACAACGCCTCTGGAGTTTAACATACGTTGCAATTGACTTCAGCAGCAGTGCAGCTATGGCAGTTCGAAGCAAACCTAACCCAATCAGGCATGAGAGATCCAACTGTCCATATGGGTCACAAGACTCACGATCGTAGGAGAGGCAGCCTGAAAATTTCAGGCATGACAGATGACAACATGGTCCAGACACAGGCAGAGGACACTCCAATTGCTTACACTCTAGAGAAATAGGACACTGGGTCCAAACCTGTTATGAGTTAAATGGTTATCTAGTGGGCCATCCAAAGGCTAAATTTAACTTAGACTCAAGAGGATTCCATAATAGAACTAAGCCGACAATGAATAATGCTACCGAGGGGTCTTCTAAAATTGGTGGCAGTCAGATTGTTGGGATTTTAGAGGATAAGTTGAAATAACTTTTATCATTTGTTAGTAAAAATGACGATTCTATCTCTCAGACCTATGTTGTGACCAAGCCAGGTTTGTCTAACATCTCTTCCCACAATTGGATCATTGATAGCGGGGTGACAGATCATATTTCTTCGTCATCTAAATTATTATTTCACGAAAATAAAAGTTATTCATTACCTCATGTAATGTTACCTAGGAGAGACAAAACAAATATTGTTGCGAAAGGATCGTTGCCTCTGAATTTTGTTAATTATTTGCATAATGTGCTATATGTTCCTACTTTCAAAGTTGATTTTACATCAATTAGTCGTCTGATGAGAGGTCTAAATTGTTCAATAACCTTTTTTCCTTATTAGTATATTTTGCAGAATCTAGCTACGAGGAGGATGATTGGTTTGGGTAAACAACGTGATGGTCTATATTATTTGGCGGCACTTGCAATGAAAAATTCAGTAAACACCTCCCCCTCACCAATAAAACAGCCGACCTGCAACCTTACCATCTCATCCACCGATCTCTGGCATCATCGCTTAGGCCATGCATCATCTTCTTGTTTAAGTTTTATTGCCTGGAATTTTTTAAATTTTTTGGTTCAGTCAAATAATACTTGTCTTGTATGCCCTTTGGCTAAGCAGAGTCGTTTACCTTTCAGCCCTAGTACAATTTCTTCATTAAAACCTTTTGAACTAATTCAATATGATATTTGGGGTCGTGATCGACACCCTTCTCTTACTGGTGATGATTATTTTCTTACCATTGTGGATGATTTTACTCGTTTCACATGGATTTTTTAATGCGATACAAAGATGAAGCATAATCAATTTTAAAACAATTCTTCAGTTTTGTTCAGACTCAATTTGAGTTTCACATAAAAAAAATTTCAAAGTGATAATGGTGGGGAATTTACCTCACTGTGTTTTTTTTCAAGATCATAGGGTCGCTTTTCAACATTCTTGTGTTTACACGCCTCAATAAAATGAGGTTGTGGAACATAAACATCGTCATATTTTACAGATGGCTGGCGCTTTAAAATTTCAAACGCAACTCCCTAATCTTTTATGGGGGGAGTGTGCTCTTACCACTGTCCACATCATCAATCGATTGTCCTCCCCGGTTCTTTCTTTAAAAACTCCTTTTCAACTTCTCTACTTAAAACAACCTTTTTTATATATATATGTTTTTGTTGTTTAGATTATGCTACTAATGTCCGTGTTTCACACAAATTTGATCATCATTCCATTTCTTCTATTTTTATTGGCTATCCTATTAGATAAAAAGCCTACAAATTATTTGATTTGTCGACCAACAAAATTTTCACTAGCCGTGATGTGAAATTTTATGAAAC